TTTCATTTGTTTGCTGAGATTCAGCTAAGCATTATCCGAGACTCAGCAATCAAATGTCACTTTTGCTGAGATCTCAGTGAAACTTATTTTTTGCGGAGATTTGCATAGCCGAGCTCGGTAGAAAAAACTAAGTGTGTACGTCACAAATCTAGTATACATCAAGTTAGGAGAGCTGAGAAAATCCAGGACAAAAAGTTAAAACGAATTTCAGTTCACTATCGGCAATTATTCAGATTTGTGCTGGAATTCGGCCATTTACAAATAACGTATTCGATATTGTTTCAATGAACCGTAGCACGAAAACGTCTATTTTAATCGAAATGAGATTTGAGAGATACCTAGTTATCAATTATGCAAAGTTTCATGAAAATTGGAGAAGGTCGAGACTGATCGATTTGTCAGTCGGTGTGGAAATGCTCAGCCAGAGTTGCGACCTATCACAATCACGATCGTCAAACCGCTGATGGGAGTAACGCTTGGTACATTCCTATCAATGTGTTTGTCGAAGCACTCTCCTTGACAATCCCTCAAGTTGACGAAAGAAGTAAAAATCAACTGGTGAATGTCGTCTTCGGTGGTGATCGATCACCGATCTGGTCATTCCCGACAATCACGACACTCATATGTGCTCGTTTTGAAGCAGTTTGCTTGCTTATGTTAGTGTGTTGGTGAGTGAGCCCAACAGCTTCCGTTTAATTTTGCCTGCTTTGTTTGTAACTCACACAGTCGCGCGTGCCGAGACGAACTTGGAATGCGTAGGCATTGTTTTCATTTTCTTCTGTCGGTTCGCTTTTTCTCATCATCGTTCTGCAGAGGTCTTCACTGTTTTCTTTGTGCTTTACATAATTAGCAGCGAGTGTTACGATTTGCCTGTGAGCAGTGACTGTTGTTTGCCATGGCTCTACTTCTCACTGCATGACAAAACGTTCTGTCAGCGATTGTCGGTTGATGCGTTGACGAGTGTCAAGTGAGTGTCATGATATTTTGCATCACTGTGCTCAGCTACAAAGCCAAGTCCATAAATCTCACGCAACACGAGAAAAGGGTCTATCATTATTGATCGACTCTTCATCGATCATTATTGATCGACTCTTCATCGATTTTCTCTTTCGCGAATAATCGGACTGCAAATTAATTTCTCATTGAGTATGTTGTTTCAGGCGCAAGCTAACATCATCTTCTGTCGAACTGTGCTGCGAGCTTAGAGAGAAATTCGTTTATGTTGCCGTGGTAAACCAAAGAGAAAGTCGATGAAGAGAATCGATCAACGAGGATAGGCCCTTTTCAAATGTTACGCGAGAAATCTCAAAATTCGAACTCATCTTTGTAGTCACAGGATAGATCCTTAAAGTTCCCTGAACTTACTGCAAAGCCTGTCCGACTTATCGTGGAATTGTGGGGTCACATTGTGGAATTCGAATAAACTTGACTTGTTTCGGAAAAAAATGATCGTTTTGAATTCTGCAATGACTGCTCAAGAAGTTAAACCTGTAGTTCCTGAACCGGACCCTCTAGCTTACTGAACCTCCTTTGTAAGTCCCGGACATGCACACAAAATGCACTCTCTGACTTATTGACCCTTGGACCTACCCTAGAGTTTACTCAGGGCTGATAGCGAGTCACTTTTTAGTTACTTAGTTACTTTTTTCAAGCCTGTCACTAAAAAGTCTCTTTTTTTAAGGCCAAGTCACTAAAGAAATAGTGATTCTTGTAATCAGTCACTATTTTCAACTTTTTGACCGTGAATTTATTTCTAGATTGAGCATTCTTTGCTTTAGGCGTTAAATCGTCTTTCTCTATCTACAAGGTGTCTATTCATTTTTCTAAATAAAATTATCTGACTTTTCCAGGTTTTCCCAGTATTTTAACGGATAAATTCCAGGTTTATAATAAAGCTAAATTTTTAAATATTCTTTTTTTTTTGGGTATCAAAAACAACAGCAATTTACCCAAACGTTTTTAAGACATGTCAATCAGTTTTAAAGAAACAGCTTTACAATCAAATCCATTGAATGTTGAAGTTTATCACTTACTTAATGTCTCACTTGATAAAGTTATAAAGAACTTACCCAATTTAAGCAATTCCAAGATCTAAAATTATTCAATACCTTGAAGTTTCGTATTCCATTTACAAGTTCAAGATATTGAAAATTTTCAAAGTGCAAGAATCAAGGAAAAAATAAATAAATGATTTATTGCAAGTTCGTAGGAACTTTGGCGAAGTAGTGAGTAATGAAAAGAAATGATGAGAATTTCGGTGAAGCTCCATAAACAAACTGCGGGAACTTAAGGGAAGTTAATACGCTAAAAATATGGGGAACTTACTGGAAGCTTTAAGAACCACAAAGTGGTTCTTTTAGCATCCGAAAATTTTCGGGAACTTTTATGAAGTTCCTAGAATTTCAGGGAACTTCACAGGTGTCAAGCGAACTTGAGAAATATAGAAAACATGACGGGGATGGTGCATTTTTTAAGAAGCTCCAAGTACCTCAGAAAAGCTAGATCTAGAGATTTTTTGGGGAATTTCAGACCTTAAGAGCAGTTTCCGGAGCTTTACTCCAGACTTTGGAGCAGTTTAAATATCTATGATCGTAAATTTAGAAAAATTCAGGTTAGTTCCATGATGTGCTGAAAAAGAATCGAGAACCCTTAAGATGTTCCGAGAATTTCAGGGAAGTACAGAATCTTTTAGAGAATTTATGAAAAATTCAGAAATATTTCATAAACTTCGCAGAAATCCAGAGAATTTCAGGGAAATTTAAAGATTTTTACGGAAATTCCATTTATTTCCGAGCAGAAGAACCGAGATCTTCAATAGAATTGAAAGTTTTAGGGAATCTTTGAGAACATCAAGACAGATAGAATCAAAGGGCAGTTCAAACCATTTCAAGGAAATTGTAGAAACCTTAAAGAATGCGTCCGGGAATTATGAATATATATCAAACAAATTGCCGGATTATTAAACAAATTAAGAGAACTTCAGGTAACCACTGATAAGTTCAGGGAAAATTGGGGTTATAATACTTAAGGGAAATTGTCGAAACTTTAAGGCAAATAATTGAATTTCAGTAAAGTTGTGGGTTCTTAAAAAATACTGAAAATTCCGGGCAGTCTAGAGAACTTTAAAGAAATTCAATAATCGTTTAGGCAGTTTAGATACCACCAGGAAAGTCTAGACTATTAAAGAAGTTTCAAATAAGTGTCGATAATTTAAGGGAAGTGAACTTTAAAAAAAAATCTTGAGAACTTCAATGAATATCAAAGAACTATATTAATTATTTCGTTCTATTTCCATGAAAATTGCGGTACCATAAAAGTTCCAGAAATTTAGAAAAACTTCGAAGGACTGTGGTCTTCACAAACATTTCGAATACTTTATAGAAATCTATGGAGCTTAAGGAGAGATCCGCGAACTTCAGTATTTTTATGAACATTGGGGAGGCCAGTTCCTTTAGTTTCAGAAAATTAGTGGGAAGTTTAATGCAGTTCCCAGATTTTCAGATAACTTCAGAGACGTTATAAAGTTAATTGAGGTCTTCGCATACGTTCAGAAGCTCACTGAAGCTTAAACATTTTTAGGGCGGTTCAATTAAATTCAGCGCAATACAACAAGATTGATGAGAACTGCTAAAACTTTAGAGAAGTTTTGAGAATTTCAGAAAAGAACGAAGAACCTCAGAGCAGTTCCGTTAACATTAGAGAAATTACATGAATTTTGAAGAAGTTTAGAGAACTTCAGTGAATTGTTAAATGTTTAAAGGAGATCCATGATCATTGAAAAATTCAGGAAACTTTAGGAAGTCCTAAAAAGTTCAGGGAAGCTTAAGAATTTGATGATAAATATTGTGAGTCTCACGCTAGTTTCTCAAACTACAAAAGAATTTCAAGGCAGTTTCATTAACTTCAGGAAAAAATTGGGAACTTTCAAGCAGTTCTGAAAACATCAGATTAGTCCATTCCATATTCTACGGAGATTTCCATTGAAATATTCCTCAAAATTTTGGTGAAGCTATCCTCCGAATTCAATTTTCTTTTAGTTTTCCTTGGAATTCTCCACAATAAGAAACCCTTTCGAAAGATTCTCCGAATATTCATTGAATTCATTTCAGATTTCATTTTCAATCTCACTCCGTCCTGGAATTCTACTCACATTGAAAGTCTCCTAGGAATTCATTGGCATTTCTCCTCACAAATTACTTAGATTTCTTCTCATAATTTGTTTGGCAAACTCTCCTGAATTCATTTTCCGAATTCCTTTGAAGATGTCCTGGAGTTATTTTCAGATTTAATTGTAATCCTCCTTTAGGATTTTCAAAACAATTTCAAGGACTTATGCTCCGGATTCGTTTTCTCCCACAAACTTTATGAAATTATGCTCAGAATGCCCTTGGAATTTTCCTCTGAAGCTCCTCAGAAATTCCTCAGAAATTCCTTAGAGTTTCCATTAACATTTACTTTTAGGTCACTTTTTAGTCACTATTTGTACAACTATAAGTCACTATTTGGTCACTTATTTCATCAAAATGGTCACTAAAATCACTATTTTTAACAGCAGTGATTGCTACCAGCCCTGTTTACTGGACCTCTCCATGAAGTTCCATCTTTCTGTTCCCATAGTACACTATATTTTAAAAATCAGCTTGAAACCGTACAAAAAAAGAACAGAAATGCGAATGCGCATATTTGTTCGAGTGTTGAATATGTAGCAGTAAGTTTACGCTTTATGAAGCTCGATTATCCTTAAAGTTTACAAAACTCTTGTTCAATTAACTAAACCAAATCAATCCTTTTTATTTTAATTTTCAAGCAAGCAGTTTTGAATACCTAGTTTTATGTTTCACTAACACATACCCTTAGAATAGTTTAGTAGCGCTTTCGAACCCTTCTATATTCCGCTTTCACAATTCATCTTCGTTGCATGCCCATTCATTTCCCGCCATGGGAGGCCCCTTTGGAAAACGACCCGTACTTAATAAAAGCATTCTTGCTTCTTGCTCCAGATTCACGGACGAGTTCAAAGTACGAGAGGATCTGATGGGACTGGCGATCGGTGCACATGGGGCCAACATCCAGACCGCTCGGAAACTGGACGGTGTGCTGAACATCGAGCTCGAGGAAAATACCTGCACGTTCAAAATTTCTGGAGAGGTAACTGATTGATCGTTCTCGTTCTTCGGGTGCATTTGCTAATTTCGTTGAAACTTTCCTTGCAGACTGACGAAGCGGTTAGGAAGGCCCGCGCCATGCTCGAGTACAGCGAGGAATCGCTGCAGGTCCCGCGGAATCTCGTCGGCAAGGTGATCGGCAAGAACGGACGCATCATCCAGGAGATTGTGGACAAGAGCGGCGTCGTGCGCGTCAAGGTTTGTCAGCGAACATTGGCAGGCGTTGTTATTTTGAACTTTTCGCAAAGTCTGTCTCATTGCAGATCGAAGGGGACAACGAGCCGGAGCCGAGCATCCCGCGCGAGGAAGGCCAGGTACCGTTCGTGTTCGTCGGTACGGTGGAGAGCATCGCCAACGCCAAAGTGCTGCTCGAATATCATCTAGTGCATTTAAAGGTAAGACATAGATTTTTTTTCAAAAAAAAAAAGAAAATTGAAGTGATGACATGTTCATGGTTTGCCGTTGCAGGAAGTCGAACAACTAAGGCAGGAAAAATTGGAAATCGATCAACAGTTGCGGGCAATTCAGGGCGCAACGATGGGTTCGATGCAGAACTTTTCCATGAACCGTCGGTCGGATCGGGCGTACAGTAGCGACGTGGACGGCGGTGGGCGGTCCGGTCGAGGCATGCGTGGTCGTGGCGGTCGTGGTGGACGGGGAAACAATCCTCGATATTCTGGTGAGTTCAAATCAATGCAAAGTGCCGCTAAAATGGGTTCTTATTTATGATTGCTCTTTCTTTCCGGCGCAGGTCGTCGCGATACCGGTGATGATGAGTACGCACCGAGGGGTGGTGGTGGTGGCGGCGGTGGAGGAGGAGGAGGGGGAGGCGGTGGTGATCGTGATCGTGACCGTGACCAGCGCAACAACTACTCCGAGGGTGGCCGAGGTAATCGGCGAGGTTACAGTGAAAAACGAGGCACCAGCAGCAAGCGATCCGATAGGAACAAATCCCAGGGTCAGTCGTCGACGGGCGGTGGCGGTGGCGTGCAACAACAATCGCAACAAGCCCCATCGTCGTCGTCGTCGACGCAGCAATCGACGCTACACGATGATCCCTGGGCGGAGCATGTGGAGAGGGAGAACAACCGCGAGCTGAACAGCGTTGATAGGGGTAGGTACCGTAAATGATCTCCCCCCCCCGGGGATAGGGAAGGCATTCGGTTTGAATGATCGGTGCATTGCCATTTGTTGAGATTAGCTAGGGGAGTTGTATTTTGTTATCTTCTTCGTCAAATAAAGCCTGTTGCTTACACTTCTTTGCTTTGCGAATCATCACTTGTTCGAATTTGAATTCGGAATTTTGAAATGAATTCATGCGATTGGAAATTTTTCGAAGTCGCTCTGCTGTGTGAATTACTGTCCTAACTACCTGTCAACGATCACTGTTGGTTGCACCTAGACCAAACGAAAATCATTGTCCACAAAAAAACTGCAAAATTTAAGCCAAATAAAAAAATAAATAGATCGATTTGCGAATGGTTATGGACCCGCTCTTTGGTGTTCTAGTTGATGGTATATCGATTTTCACGAATCAATTTCGCCTATAAAATTCTAAAGCAATGGAAGTCACTTTTAGCTATTCTCAGTATATATTTCACTTCTTTCTCACTTCATTTTCACCTTTTTCTTGCATTAGAATTCTCTTTTTTCTAACCTCCATTTACACATACGCACTCTTGTCGTCCTGTTATCTTCTTTATTACATTCTTCTTCTACTTTCCTTCCACGTGCGCCACATTGTTGTTCGTTCCTCCAACACACTTTTCGAACCATGGAAACGTGCACTACTAATTGCAGTTCTCTCTGTAACAGCAGATAGTCACTCATCGAACGAAGGAATCCACAACCGAAGTCGCCGAAGATCGAAGAACCCGGGCCACTCGAACAAATGTAAGTTACCATCCTCCCTTTCCCACCGCCAATGATTCCGGCTCTGCTCCATTTGTCATTTTTTTTTCAACGAATTGGGTAGCCCCAAAGCTAAGAAACCATAACGAGAAGACTGGCAACATTGTTAGAATCTAAGAGACAGATACAGTGGCACCAACCGGTGGAAACTAAAGATTTTAAATTGACTCACACTGGACTAGCCTATCGGTCCCAAGTACATCGATGAACGTACCCCATTCTAGTCGACATTCTAGCACTACACTATGTTTGTTTTGATTCGCTATGAAGGTTTGACAGATAAAATGAGGGGTTCGTGGATTTTCGTATGTTTCGAGGGGTGCATCGATTAGCCTGGGACCGAAGATAGTACCAGAGCTGAATTAAAAAAGCTGAGCACGTTTCTTCAGGACCTTCTGGTCTAAGAGTAGAAGCAAAGCACGGAGAACTGAGCAAATACACACGCCTCTCTTCTGAGGCTGGAATCTTTGCTATTCCCAGGTGAGGTGATAAATGTCACCTCGTGTGAGGTGACTCTATTGATTTGCACGGAGAGTCATCATGGTGCACCTCACCGGTGACAGAGAGTCACGTGACTCGCAGAATAAGGGGGATTATATTCGTTTGGAGTATTTACCTTTGAGCGGCAGATGACTCTCTTGTGCCTGTCTTCTAGTGTGAGAAAACAAGAGAGTTCCCAGTCTTCTTGATATGCTGTCCAAAGCCTAACCACCAAGAATTGTTCAAAACTAGCTGCAATTCTACCAACTGTCATCTATTTTATGTCCTTTAAGTAAGATTTAACGCCCCCACATTAGTCCTAATGGAGCAGAGCCACGATAGAGATTATAACTTCTAATCCCACCCCAAATTGCCTCCCGCAGCAAACGGAAACGTCCAATCGATGAGCGTCAAGTCGGGCAGCAATGCGACCGCCAACAGTACCGGTGGCAACAGTACGGCAGACCATCATGACAACGGAAGCACAAGCGCAGCGGCTGTCAACAGCAAACAGCAGAATCATCAGCCTCTCAGTACGGTCAACAGTAACAGTGTTGCCGGTGCTGCCGTGTCGAACAGTAGCAATAGCCAGCAACAGCAACAGCAGCAGCAGCAGCCACCGCCCAAAGGTCAGCGGGAGAATCCCCGGGGCCGAGGAGGTCGCGGTGGCGGTGCCGGTGGTGGCGGTGGTGGTAAGCATAAGCAAAATCAGCAACAGAATCAGAACCAGGCAGCCGCTGGCGGCGCCACCGTTCTCAATAACAGTGTTGCCACTGCTGAGCTCCATCACCATCACGGTGGCAGCGTTGCCGGTGGTAAGGAAACGCTGGTCAATGGCTCCTCTTAGAAGAAGCACCAGGTGGCATCAATGGCGGCAGTGGTTTTGCGCCTGTTGGTGGGAGTGTGAAACATAAACAATTGCAAACACACTCACCCGCCCACAGACACACACACACACATAACAGAAACTATTCAACTATCATTAAAAATTACCCAATCTGAGAAATGCATAAAACAATACACACACAAGAAACACAATTAATACAAAAAAAATACGCGCTCGGACTCGGAATTCGAGGGAGAGGATGAAACAGAGAACGAGCGATCGAACAGACTTTACTACCTACCCAATTGCTACGAATATTTTTGCGTGTATTCAAAAATAAGAAAATATTACACAGAGCAAGATAGAGAGAGAGAGAGAGAAGGGAAAATTCAAGCCAAGAGGAATAGGAAAAAAACATTAGAGCAGAAGAAGAATTGAGCAGTAGCTGTGTAAAACTGAAAGAGAAACAAAAATTAGAAGAACTAAAACTACTATGTTGTATAATAGATGTGCAGCAGCAGCAGCAGCAGCGCGAATCAGGTTCGAGAGAATAGAAAAGCGGACAACAAACAAACAAGCAAAATAATCGATTTGCATCAGCATAATTTAGAGACAGGGTTTTTGCTGCGACCAAACCTAACCTCTTCTCAATATAGGCTTCTCGGAAAGATGAGATATGAGATGAGGAGGGCAAAAACTCTCCCAGAGAGATGAAATCAAGAAAGAGCACTGAATTACTATAATAATAATAATAATAACGAGAGCGTTTACTGAACTTTAAAGGCAGTATTTCTTTTGAATGGTCTATGTTTTTACGTTTCTTCATTATTATTTTTTTTCATTTTTTCGTTTGAATAAAATTTGGAAAGCTTTACCTACATTACTGCGCAGTGGATGTTTTTTGAAGGTTTGAAAAAAATATGTTGTGTTGGCCCCCCGGGGGTTGTTTGTTCTTTTTTTCGAAATGCATTGGAAATTAGGGTACGCAGCCAGCGCAGTCGTCTTCTCGTTCTTCAGGGTTAGGGGTAGCTCTGAGCGGCGTTCGTTCGTTCGTTCGTTCGTTCTGCGCAGGTTAGGATCGGTTGTGTTGGAAGGTCGTTCTGATTTGTGGGAGATTCAGGTGAATATTTATCTCAAGTTGTCCCTGTTGGTCCATGTTTGTCTCAAGTTGTCCTTAGAGTGGGGACTTTTCCAGATTATTCTGGAGGTCATTCGCCTTGCACACTGTACCAAAACATCATCCTCTGTTCGTATGAATCCTCCGACCATTTATATCCATACATCATATAACGGTTGTTTTGAAATAAAATGGGAATACAGGATGGGGAAAGTGAACGGACCTTCAGTTGAAATACGTGATGCAAATTGAAATACATATGGCCCCTAAACGCAACTCTTTCAAAACGATGATGCCAATAATTCAATTGTACGTCATTTGCTGATCTGAGCTGGCACACAAGGTGAAAACATAGCCATCGCTATAAGAGCTGGAATGGCTATTAACGGCTATTTATTGAATAGAATTAACAATCGAATTATAAGTCATATTTATAGCTCTAAGCGCTGTATGTTTAACAGTCAATTTCCAAATAAACATCATCCTTTATTTGGATAATAGTCATATGGATGCTCATCAGCTGACGACAAATTAAACCATAAGGCAGTCATCCGAAATTCGAAAGCACATTGTTAAACGGCTCGAGCAATGCAATAATCATTTGAGTATTGCGAATGTTTTCGTTCAGTGTGGGGTCACGGGGCAAGATGGGTAGGTATAATCTACTTGATTTATTTACTTTATTGATTGTCATCATCATAAGGCTCAATGTAGCTTCAATGCTGGTGTGAAAAAGCAAACCATCATTGCAGTTGCTTCGAATCTGTCGATTTTGTCAAGCAATTAAATTAATAAATGCACTAGCTGACCCATCTTGCGCCATCTTGTCTTACATACAAGGCACCTTTAAGCAACCAGTAACGTGAGTAGATCATCTTTTCGCGGTACGTTACGGGATGTAAGATCTACCACCGATTCCTAGTCCTGATTACAGAGGGGAAACGGGATTTTCCAGTAATCAAAGGAACACATCTTAGTCCTTGTTGATAGCTTTCATGCCTTGTTGATAGTGATAAGTCCTCGGGTTGCCTGGATCGAGGATGATCATGAAACAAGGACAAAAATGAATTAGCTAGATTCCTAATCTTCCATTCGTTGTTCCCTAGTTTGAAGTGGTTAAGACTAGGGTTCTGATGCATAGACATTATCGGCGTCATTGCCTTATTTGGTTGCTAAGGAATCCAATTTTGACTGACAAATGGGCGTGCCTTTGGAGGGTGCTCTCACTCTTCGAAGGGTGTAATTAGCGGGGCCCTTTCAATTAGAATCGATTCCTTGCGATGAAGGAAAAAATGACAACTGTATCAAAACCGAACACTTCATCATTTCTCAATAGTGATGGAGTAATACGACATGTACTAAACTAAGGACACGGGATTCAATTAGATCAAATTACTGGTAGGTACTGGTCGCGCCTTCGCATAAGATATGATGGGTGAATTTACGGAGCTTCGGTAGGGGCCTCCCTTCGACTCCCGGTGCGGTCTAGGAATTTTTCGGGTTGGAAAATGTCTAGCATAGAGTATGATTCTACTTGCCACACAATTATACTAATGCAAAAATGGTACAGGCATCGAAAACTCTCAATTAATAACTGTGGAAATGCATCTTAGAACACTAAGTTGAGAGCACATAATAAGCTAATTTTCGACAAGCAATAAGCTTGAAATGCGAAGAAGAAGAAGACGGTAGAAAATCCAGAAATCTGCAAGGCATTTTTCACAGACGTTTCAGTGCAGGTCAGGCAGTATGGCTTTTGTGGCAGATGCAGGTTCTAGAAAGTGCTTCTTCAACATTAGCACGAATGATACTAGCCTGAATGCTCATTGAACTACTCCGAATTTCCCGAGTCTTGATTTTTTTTATTAGCTCCGAATTTTGGTTTTTAGTCTCTGGGGTCATAGACTGCTTTCTTAGGACTTAAAATGTTGATAAGTTTGGGATTCTTTAAACCTTTCCGGACGACGGGGTCATATATGGACGCCTCCTTTGATTGGACGTATAAAATTACAGGTAATAGATAGCTACATACTTTCTCCAGCAATGTTGTACCAAGTAATGTAAACTATTTAGAAAAAAATATAAAAGGCGAGTTTAAAACCCGATTGACGATCTGCAACTCCGAAACCTTATGGAAAATCCAATCAAAACTAGCAACTTTATGAATCATTTTGTTCGAAGATACGTTATGATTAATGAGATCCAAATTATTGATAACTATATTGCATAGCCTGTCCAAACAATTCTGGAGATTATATCTGAAGTATTTTCAACAAAGTCTTATACGGATGTCTCACTACTGAAAGATGTCCAACCACATGCTCTTAGCAACGAAATAAATCAGAACATCTTTTTGAAGCCTATGTGCATCAGAAGCCATCCTTTTTCAATTTTACTCTGACAACGGGAGTTATTTAGCCCAGGGATGGCAGGTGCATTTTGTAAAAATCTTCAACGATATCGACGAGTGACTTTTAAAATTTGAAATTTTCGCTCCACAGTGTTCAAACGGGTCCTGATTAGCATCTCAAAATTGGCACAAACCGTTTGAAATTTATATGGAAATCACTATGATAAATCCAAACTGTTATTCATTGTCTTCTAGCCTTTTTCCATATTATACTGTTAAAAGGTTCTATAGCTATTCTTATCGTAAAATTTCTCAGCTACAACTAGGCATGGAAAATCATTTGCATTCATTTCGTGCATTCATTTACATTCATTTGCCTTTAACTTTTTTCTTCAACAGCATTCCGCAAAAGGATGTACATAGCTTTTGTTATTAGCTGCAACTTTTGTTAACAAGTCAAATCCCTATCTCTGATGCATGACGAACCAGAGCGAACAGAAGCCACTACTGTTTTTCAGTGAATGTATTTTACATTCACTGAAAAACAGTAAAAAGTTCTGCCCGCTCTAGTTCATGATTCATAAGAGATACAGATTTGAGTTATGAACAAAAGTTGTAGCTAATAACAAAACCTACAAAAGCTCTATACATTATTTGGCGGAATGCTGTTGATGAAAAAAGTTAGAGGCAAATGAATGTAAATGAATGTAAATGATTTTCCATGCCTGGCTACAGCTTTGCGGAAGATCGTTTTTCAGCCAAATTAAATAGTTATTAATTGTTTACCAGATTGATAATCTTATGGCATGATCAAGCAGCTGTTCTGTGCGCAATAGGATTGGGCGATCTTGGATCGATCTTTGGAAGATCGATCTTTTTCATTCCGATTTCCGACTTTTCGGATCGATTCTTGGCCCACGAAGAGATAGAAAAAATCGATCTCTTCTTTCAATCTTTTCGAATTAAAATAGGTTTTTAATTTTTTAAGTGTATTTAAATCGAAAAAAAGATTTACTCTCACCACAGACTGCGTAGTAAATTTAACGAACATAACGTCAACATCAGCATCGCTCCCTACAATGGCGTCACTATTTGCGATTCTAATATGTACGAATACAATAACATTTGAAGGTTTGAGCTACCTCCCTCCTGCGCTCATTGCTCTTTACCGTCACGACAACATTTAATTTAAATTTATAAAGGAAAGAATTTCTTGGGGTACCAACGTAAACAAGCGTAGTAAAATCAAAATCAAAAGATCGATCTGTGGATTTAATCTGTGGATCGATTCTAGAGTCAAACATAAGATCGATCCGTCAAGATCGATCTTTCTCTGAAGATCGCCCAATCCTAGTGCGCAACACTGTATTCTGCAGTATGACATCACGGCGAATGAGAACGACCCAAATTTGAGTTTAGTTCACTCATAATCGCCAAAAGTGCAGGAACTCAGCGATGAGTAAATTTGCCTCATGTTTTCCCAGGATTTTCCAGGGAAAAATTCCCGAATTTGAAAAAAGTAAAGATTGGATTCACTCAGTCTATTGGTACTACTCCGAGACTGAATAAAATTTTCGTCAATTTCTTCATTTTCCGCCAGATTTTTTAGGTTTTTCACAGGAAACCATGAGACAAATTTTACTCATCGCTGAGTTCCTGCACTTTTGGCGATTATGAGTGAACTAAAAACCAATTTGGGTCGTTCTCATTCGATGTGCGGTATAAGAGGTGAGGAGAAGGGAAGCTGGTGGACTCTTTCGTTCTCGCGTCTTCTTATGCAGCAACAGACGTGACGTCACGTCTGCCGTTGCATAAGAACACCGTCAGAATGAAAGAGTCCACTAGTTTCCTTTCTCCTCACCTCTTATACCGCACATCGGTTCTCATTCGCCGTGATGATCTTTCTTGCGTCACACGAGAAAAGGGCCTATCATTGCTGATCGATTCTCTTTCTTATCCATTTGACAGGTCTTCTGCTCGATTGGAATGACTTTTCCTATGACTTTGACAGACAATCGATTGTTCCAATTTTGACATGTCGCCTCTTTATTAATTTAGGCTCTTTAGTTAAAACAATCTTCTGTCGAACTGTGCTGCGAGCATAGCGAGAAATTCGTTTTTGTTGCCGTGGTAAACCAAAGAGAAAGTCGATGAGGAGAATCGATCAACTAGGATAGGCCCTTTTCAAATGTTACGCGAGTTGTGCTCTATTCTATACGCGCCAGAAACACCATTGTTGCCTGCTGAACAGTTGATTGAGCATAATCATAAGACATAGGGGAAATGGATGTAATGTCGGCCTAAATACCCCTAAT